AGTGTTGATATATATTAATCAAGCCTACGTTGACAATTATATGCCTTGGAATAATTATTTATAGACTACTAGATAGCATCTTCATTGTTGACAATTATATGCCTTGGAATAATTATTTATAGACTACTAGATAGCATCTTCATTGTTGACAATTATATGCCTTGGAATAATTATTTATAGACTACTAGATAGCATCTTCATTTGAGCCTTCACATATAATGCCAAAGTCTACCAGCCAAGAATCCCATCCACTATACCACATCACCACAATGATAGTCCCCGCCTTTTTTTTTTTTAATTTATGAAAATTTTTCTTTTTTTTGGGCCCACAGAATTTCGTAAAATACATATTTGTGCTTTTGTTTCAGGAACTTGTCCACCAACTTTTTCTCAGGTGAAATTCCAAATGTTGGAGTTTTGGGCAAATTTAGAAACACCTCGTAAGTTACATTAATTCTCCAAACGATTCCAATTTCAGTTTATTCTGTATGCATCCCACCCAATTCTTATGTATTTACATATCTTACACCTAAACTTTAATTTTTTTTTACATTTTTACCACTTAAATTTTTCATATCACTTAAAGAATGCCACTATTTTAAGTTTTAAAAAATGAAATTCATGTATGTAAGGAGCCATATATGTAAAAATTGAAGTTTGGATGTTAAGAGTAATTATGTAGGAATTAAGTGGTATGTATGCAGATCTTCCTTAAAAGGAACTTTCTTGTTTCAAAGTGTTAAAACGAATCCAGGTTTGTTGGGAATCTGGAGCTATGTGGTCTGCCTGTCCAGAAGCTATGCCGAGGTACATTGGGCTTTCCTGCAGTGCTTCCTCGCTCTGGCAGCTTCCCTTCAGGTAAATTTTACACTATTTTTTGTAACTTGCCCAAATTATGAGTATTTTAGTATTTTATGTCTTTATACTTAGAGTTATTGTACTCATTATAAGGATAATTAATGATGGCTGTCTCAATGTTTTTCGTCTTAGAATCATCATCCGTAATCCCGACGATGACTCCTGGAAGACAGTCATCCCACTTTCTTGATGGTGTCATACTCGGCGTTGTGTCTACCATTGGCTTCGCTATTATTCTCGTTCTCGGTTTCCTTTGGATTTGTTTATTATCTCGAAAATGGAAATTTGGCCAGAGATACGTTCAGGTGGATAAAGAGGTTCAGGATGTTGGTAAGTTTCATATAATACTTTGGAAGATTTACATGTATAACACTCAATTCCTATGTATTTACACATCTAACACTGAACTTCAATTTTTACGTGCACACTACCTTATGTGTGCATGAAAATATGTATTTCATTTTTAAAAAAGTTAAAATGATGGTATTTTTTATGTGATATAAAAGATTTGGGTGCTATAAATGTAAAAAGTAAAGTTTAGGTGATAGATATGTAAATGCATAGATATGTAAATGCATAGATAGATATGTAAATGCATAGGAATTGTATGTAATGTTTGTAAATGCCCTTAACACTTTTTGTATTTTGATATGCTCTCTCTCTCTCTCTCGCTCTCTCTCTCTGCATAAATTATTTGATTGGATGTCTTTATGAAAGGTACAAAGCTTGTCACATTTCATGGAGAACTCCCATATTCATCCGGGGAGATTATTAAAAAGTTAGAACTACTTGATGAAGAAGATTTGGTTGGGTCGGGCGGGTTTGGAACAGTGTACAAGCTCGTTATGAATGATTTGCGCGCATTTGCTATTAAGAAGATTGATCGAAACTTTGAAGGATTGGATGAACTTTTGGATAGGGAACTCCCTATTTTGGGCAGCATCAAGCATATCAACCTTGTCAATATAAGAGGTTATTGTAGGCTTCCCTCAACCAAACTTCTTATATATGATTTTATGGACTTGGGAAGCTTAGATCATTATCTCCATGGTAATTAACCTCTCAACTATTACTTTGCTGCCTTAAATTTCAAATGAGAAAAGTGTCAAAATAGTCCTCTGACTGAATGCAAGGAGTCATTTTAGTCTCCTTATAGGCTGAAATAGTCCCCATGGATGACTATTTCAGCCTCATTTTAAAGAGTCTGGGGACTAATTTGATATTTTTATAGACTCGGGGACTAAAATCGCCCCATGTAAATAATGAGACTATTTTGACACTTTACTCTATTTCTTGATAAAGACTAATATATTATTAGATTTTACATGATTGTAATTATTTTGTTCTTTTTTAATTAATCGTAGAAGCTGAGGAAGAGCAGTCTTTGAACTGGAATGCGCGGATGAAAATAGCTCTTGGGTCGGCTAGAGGACTTGCGTATTTGCACCATGATTGTTCGCCGGCGATAATCCACCGTGACTTTAAATCCAGCAATGTGCTCCTTGATCAGTGTCTTGAGCCTCATATTTCTGATTTTGGACTTGCTAAGCTTCTTGCTGATGTAGATGCTAATGTCACCACAGTAGTGGCTGGTACCTTTGGTTACTTGGCACCAGGTTAGTAATCTAATTCCCAAATTCCAAATTTCTAATATAAAATGTCTGTTCACACTCCTATGGTCATGTGAATCTATAATATTGAATTTTTAAGAATGCAATGATTTATCAACTTAAGAAAATATTTTGTTAAATTTCTATTATATGGATTTAATTTTTGATGAGAAAGTAGAGATTAGTTGCTGGGATCTTGTTGAGATTTGGTAATGTTGAGATGGATGTGTGAATTATTTATATTTAATGGAATGATGGGGAGTAACATCTATTGAAAATAGGGTGACGAAAAAAAATGGCTTACTCATTTGAGCAACTGTTGGATAGAAGTCCAAAAGGAAGTATTGATTCATAAATATTTGATTTTAAGAGGGATGATGGGGAATGGAGAAGATAATGCAATGGAAAATGTTGGATAATTGTGTAAACATATTTGCATAAAATATAAATTTAACACCTCTGTTGCACTCAACTAGAATGAATGGAGAATATGGATTCATTATAAGGTTTAGGAAGAGAAATGAGTAGACCAAAGTATATAATTCTGAAGAATTATAAGTAAGCATGGAAATAGAAAAGGTGGTATAGTGCAAAATTTTTTTATCCCTCAATTTCCCAATCAACATGTGGATAAAAGTTGGATAGAAGTTGTGCAAAAAGAAGAATTGATTTATAAATATTTGATTTTATAAAGGATGATGAGGAATGAAGAAGATAATGCAATGGAAAATTTTGACAAGTGATTATATCAAATGCTGGATAGATATATAAAAATATATTCATGAAATATAAATTTAACGTCTCTGCTGCACTCAACGAGAATGAATGGAGAATATATTGATTCATTAGTGGACTTGAGACATTGGCATTGTTCTGATTATAAGGATTAGGAAGAGAAATGAGTAGACCAAAGTATATAAATATGAAGAATTATAATAAGCAAGCATGGAAAGCATGGAAATAGAAAAGGTGGTATACGTCGACAACAACAAAGCCTTAATCCCATTTAATGTCTCAATCAACATGTGAATAATTGTCGACCGACCCCAAATAGTTGTGATAAGTTTAAAGATGATGATAGTCGCAAAATCTAAGCATGGAAATAGAAAAGGTGGTATACGACGACAACAACAAAGCCTTAATCCCATATAATGTCTCAATCAACATGTGAATAATTGTTGACCGACCCCAAATAGCTGTGATAAGTTTAAAGATGATGATAGTCGCAAAATCTCATTTTTTTTATTGTAGAATACCTACAAACTGGTCGTGCAACCGAGAAATTGGATGTCTACAGCTTTGGCGTGCTCTTGCTCGAGTTGGTGACAGGGAAAAGACCAACTGATCCATCATTTGTCACAAGAGGCTTAAATATAGTAGGCTGGGTAAATTTCATTTTCCATCTTCTTTATTTATTTATGTTTTTGAGAAATTTACATAGGCAGCGCACAATTCTTACGTATTTACATATCTCATATCTAAATTTCTATATTTTACATGCATAATTTTGTTATTTTTAATTGATATTAAATGTTTGAATGTGCGCTATTCTGATTTATATGTAAAGGCATAAAAATTGTTTGTTATTTATACAAATGCCCCTTTTTTATTTGCTGTTCTGATTTCGATCGAACATGAACTCGATTCGATAACACAGATGAGCACTCTGACAGAAGAAAATAATAAGTTAGAGGATATATTGGATATAAACTGTGGGAATGTGGAAGTTGAAGCAGTGGAAGCCATACTTGACATAGCAGCAATGTGCACAAATGCAGATCCTGATGAGAGACCAACAATGTTCAGAGTGCTGCAGATGTTGGAAGAGGAGCTCATGTCTCCCTGCCTCAGTCATTTCTATGAGCCTCATTTGGAAATCTGATGAAGCTAAGTTTTGTAGTTAGATTTTGTAAATATTATTTACATTTTTGTGTGACTTTGTTCCATTATATATCCCCATTTGGAAACTGAGTTTATGAAACTAAATGTTGGAGATTTTGTAAATTCAGAATTTTATTTTCACTTAAAATGGGAGAATAAATTGTTTTCTTAACATGTTTTTCCATTATTTATTTAAATGGAAAGTCTGATTTTAATTACAGAAGTTAAAAAGGAAAAATGTTGCTCATGAAGTCCTGATGCAAGACACATCATGATGGGCATTAAGTCTTTTGATTTATGTATAGCAACTGCACGCTTATATTAAGATATTATACATAAATACATACATACATATATTATTTATATACATAAAAAATATGCCACCAAAAAATGCGTGATAAGACATGAATCCATATGCATGTTAGATAAAATGATTTTATATTCAAATTAAAGATTATAAGGGCTCTGATTTCAGCAATAGTATAGCCAATTAAAATCTAGGTAATACCAAAATACAGCATTTAGATAAATGATATTCAAATGTGGCATGATGAGAAACTTTGAAACATTAATTGAAGGTTATAAATGATATTCAAATGTGGCATATTATAGTTAAATCGCGCGTCATGATGAGTGTAAACTAAAAAATTTAAGATCTCTCAATTCTGATATCATTAAAACACATAAATGCTAAAAGAATGGTTTATAATGAAGAAAATTAACACGGATAGAAATGGAATGTTATGAGTTTTGGCTAAATTTATTAAGTGTCTATCTAAAACTTGTATAAATAATACCCCATTTTCGCTTGTAAGGGGAGAAGGAATTGAGAACTCAGTCGAGACTCTTGAAGAAATTTGAATATCGCTATAAAATGGTTAATATTTTTTTTTTGGAAATTATCGTATGAGCTTTATAATTCAATCAAAACTCTATAACTATCTTTTTTTTTGCTTAAAGAGAACAACAAAATCTTGTACTTTGAAATGTATAATGTATTATTTTGACTAGCGTAGACTCCGTAACGTTTTCCTTGTTCAATTTTTTCTTGTAGTATCCCTCATGCCTCCTTTCTTAGCTCTTCACTTACCTGTATGTGGTAGATCTTCGTGCAACTTTGAATGGAGCTATTAAGAGGACTTATAACTATAGAATAATATTTTAAATAAATAAATATTTAGCATATGCATGTAACATATTCAACATCTTAAGCATATTAAGTTTAAAAATATTAAAAAATTTTGTGTTAGTGTTGATAATAAAAAAAAATTATAAAATTATTTCAAGTGATATTATTAATTTTTTTCTATTCTTTCTTTGTCATTCAATTCATTTTGTGTTAGTGTTGATAATAAAAAAAAATTATATAATTATTTCAAGTAATATTATTTTTTAATTTTTTTCTATTCTTTCTTTGTCATTCAATTCACAATCAAAGATAAAATAGAAAATGAACATATAATATGGGAATCCATCTAAATGAAGTGGCCTAAAAAAAGAGATAGAGATAATTACCATTTAACCAGTAAAGATAAATCACATGCTCTTTTTCTTCTTTTTTTATTCTATTAAATTGTATTTTGAAGCCATTTTTCAAAACATACACACATACTCATAAGTATTACATATATATATGACCCCCAACCCTTCTTTATCTTCCACATTCTACAATATCATATATATATTGTATATATATATCTTCAGATATACATACAAGTAGCTTATTGCTTTCTCTTCTCCAACATAGTGGATTATATTGAACCCGGAACCCTCTGCATTGCTTGAATTGGAATAAGCTTCAAAAAATCAAAAAAGACTATTTTGAAAGTGAGTCGATTTATATTAAAACTCAGAAAGCAAATTAAGAGCCGTCAATATGAATACCAAATCGAGATAAAAAGATTGTTGCTATCTTTAAATTCATTAATTTATGCTGTCTTTTTTTTTTTTAAGAAAATCTGCTCCTACATTAAGACATTGATCTATAGTTCTATAGCAGCGCAATAATGGTATTTAAATTGTACATACAGACCACCCCAAACTTGGCATTTACAAATCAATCACCCATTTTTCAAAATCTCACTGAAATATCAAAATTCTTAATAAAACCCCAAAACATATTTTTCATTTTTATTAAATTCTCAATAATTTGATCATGGCTCGCGTGAATACAGGAAAAAAATTGCGTACATAAGACGTACGCAGAGCTGCGTACGTCTGTAACATGAGAATAGGTTACAGGGAGGATATTTGGAGGTTATAACTGCGTTATAGCCCATGTAACCTCTTCGTAATCTACATGTACATTCTAGTAAGTTCCGTGCTTCTGTTTTTATAAATAGATAGGTTACAGGGAGGTTATGGGGGCTATAACGCAGTAATAACCTCTGAATATCCTCACTGCAACCTATTTGCAGGTTACAGACGTACGCAGCTCTACGTGCGTCTTATGTACGCAATTTTTTTCCGTGAATACATAGGTTCACTAGTTCCAAAAAATCAACTTGGTGGTAAATTTGCAAATATCAATATTTGAGGCTATATGTATATAATTATCCCTATTTGTTTAGAAGTGGATAAAAATATTTTATTTTAAAAAGTGTATATAATGAGTGCATTAATACTTCTCTCTTTCATAAAAATCTCTCCTATTTCTTAGCTAGGATGTAAACAAGCCAAGCTTGAGCGAGACTTTCGGCTTGCTAATATATACCATTATTTATGTTCTGCTCGTTTATATATCGAACTCAAAAAATTAATTTGTGCTCGACTTATTTGCTTAGCGAGTCGGACACGAGCTATTCGTGAACAATAAGATGTTTTGATAGCTCTAATCACACAATAAGGACAATATTTAAACATTTTCATTTATATTTAAATAGAACTTAATAAATATTTATTCTATTTTTGAATTAATAAATTTATTTTTTTATAAAACTTTGAAGTTTTATAGCAAATTAAATTATTTAAAAATAGAAACGTTTTTCATCAATTAAATTATATATATATTTAATTATTCCCAGACAAATTGAGTTCGAAGAACAACAAATAAAATTTTACTTTTGTTCGGTGAGCGCAAATTAATTATTTATGTTAGCTTCATATTCAAGAAAAAAATTTGTGTGCGATGTGTACAAGCGGATTACAACCGCAGTATAATCCATCGTAACCTAAAGTAGGTTAGGGTTTAAAACCAAATTTTTTCCCATATCGAATCGATCGAAGAACAGAGACGAGCTGGAGCCGACAGACATGGAAGGAGGATGGCGATCTTCTTGCCGTCGCCGTAAATACGAAGCTTTCTTCGGATTACTGCACTAAACATCTCAGGGTTTTGGTTCTCTCGCCGGCGTCGATCACCGAAGTTAGGGTTTCTTGAACTGTCTGTCCCCATTCCATCTCGGTACTTTCCGAAAGCTCTCCAACCCAAGATTCTCTCATTGTTCGATTCTTGAAATGACTTGTCCTCTCTCTGTAAATCCCACATCTCGCTTCTCATTACTGGATTAGTCATGAACAACTCATTGCAGCAAATGACCGATTAATGTATTTGATGTTTCGGGGCACACCAAATGCACACAATTGGTATTTGACAGAATTACCGACTCAAAATTTTACTGATGCAGATTAATGGAATTTTGATATCTTATTTGTGTATAATGATCGGAGCTAAAGTTTGTTTATCTTTTGCAGGAAATTTACTGTTATAAATAACACTTTTATTTTGAAAACTAATTTGGCAATGCCAATTAGATTTTTTATGCTGCTGGCATTTTCAATTATAATTAAGAAATGCTAATTAGATTTTTATATGCAGCTGACAGTTTCAATTAACTTTTATCACATTGAGATTACACGGCATTTTTCATTCATTTGATTAATTTAGGGTGTCATATAGTACATAAGAAGGCATACTTTAATGGACATGGAATTTAATGAGATCTAATTGTTTAAAGTCTTGAATAAATTATTTTTGGAACTATATTAGACGGTTAATTAAGAATAATTTATGTCCATGTGATAGCAATATTGCTTGGGATTGTTATAAGATTTGCTGAAAGTATAGTTTAAATTTCTTGAAAGGCATTCATACATTTAGTTTAGCACAACTAGTTTACTTATAGCATTCTCAGTATTTTGCTTTGCAGCCTATACTCTTTTTGTTTTCATTTCATTCATAAAAAAAAATAAACAGTAATAAACTAGTTTCAATATCTTTTAATTTCTATTTTTTGCAATTATATGTTTCTTTTTTTTAGTCAAAATTTATTTATGATTATTTTTCTCGTTTCATATTGGTCTGCTTAGCCGCATGAACGCATACAAAATGCTAGATTTTCTGATTAACAAATAATGGTTGTCACAGTTTTTTAAACAGTTTGTTTTTTCATGATTGCAATTAGATTCCATAGGATGAAAATTATATGTTCATTTTGCCTGCTAGAGATACATGCACCTAAATATTAATTAGCTTAATTTTATGATTTAATTATCGAAGTTTGCTAATTTTTTAATTTTTATACCATGCTGATTGTTTTCTTAAATCACAGCAACGACTCGTCTGCATAATATGATTCTAAAATATATTTGAATTATAATTCTAATTTATTGCTGAATTTTAATAGATGCAACCAACTTAAATTAGAAATTTACATTATAACTAATGGTGATTTCCTTATCTGTTTTATCAATGTCAGAAAGGCACACCTCTTGGAAATGACCTTCAATCGAAGAATTGAGCAAAACCTCCGATCCACTGCCATCATCTACCTCCTCTCCACCACCCTCATCCTTGGAGTGGTGGCTTCTCTCTTCGCCTGGCTCACCTTCCCGATCTCACGACCCAGTTCAACCTCCGGAATTGGCTGCCGTCTTGACGGCGAAGGGTCATGGTCCATTGGGATCTTCTATGGAGGTTCTCCATTAGCTCTCAAACCAATTGAAGATGTAAGGATTTGATTTTTTTTTGATTTTGTGTTTTGGTTTATTTGATTGTCTACTTTAGGGTTATGAATCGGTTGATGGATGGTTGTACAGAGAAATGTGTGGAGGAATGAGAGTGCGGCTTGGCCGGTGGCGAATCCGGTGTTTACTTGTGCCATGCCCTCGAATTCTGGATTTCCTAGCAATTTTGTGGCCGATCCCTTTCTTTTTATCAAGGTTAGTACCTCTTTAATTGATTTATTTATTTTAATATTTTTTATGTTGAAAATG